AACTTTTTTAACTGCAGAAGTTTGAAACATGCTTTTTAACAATAGATAGATAGATTGTTGGATTGCCTTTTAGAATGCGTCATTATCAGGAAAAAGTCACATCTTATTATATTGTTGAGTTATGATCGTTGTTCAGCAAATAAGATTGGAAATATATAATTGGTAGGCAAGTGATAATAATAGTCACTTATTAAGTTTTACGAAAGTAGGTATGTTTCTTAGCACATTCTATTATTGAAAAATCAATACGAAGGTACTGTTATCCAAAAACGTGATCAATAGAATTGAACTGTGCAATGAGTTGGCGAGTTCCTAAATACTGTAAACAAAGGTCTCGCTTTCCGCGGTTGTTTTGACGTTCGTTAAGCTCATAACATCGGTCTCCGTTATAATAATATTTAACTACCCGGTTGCACAAACATCAATTAATCTCAAAACGTTGCTAGAAGCCCGTTTGTTTTTCTTATTTGCCTATGGAAGTCCGTTCACCTTCTTTCGCGCCGAGATTACCGCTCGATCATCGATGCAGGCACGACATTATGTCTAAGATTTGACTGTTAATTACAATTAGTCCCAATTAGACAAATCAAAATAAACGGATAAATTTTTCCATGGCATTAATTATAAAAATGTCATCACTGGTTTAATATTTGGACAACTAATTGTAATATTGCCTTATGATTGGTATACGTGCTTCAAGATATCTTCAAGGCCATTTAATCAAAAACTAGCACAATATTTGTATCGGAGATATTCGTAATAGTGATGTATTTTATCAATCATAATTATTGGGCCAATTGTCTGGTAAAATAGACCATAACATATATCGTTATTAGCGTAACGCTATGTTATGCTTCTTAATTGGTGCTAAGAACTGAGAAAATTTGTCATGATGATTTGTTAGTTACTTTGCAAAAAATAATTTTGCTTAATACCTGACAAAACTTTTAACAATTGTATTATTATTGAAGCAAGTTATATCAATACCTAAAGATACAAATGAGTAAATGATTCAGTGAGTAAATTAATGATCAATAAATGAGTTAAGGATAATAAGCTTATAAGGTTTGAATGATTCCTCAATAATGAAGCCAAATGAATTAATTTTCGTACAGTGTTTATATATTTCAACATATTAACAAATTGTTTATCTTCAGTAAACTTCGATAATTTGTCTATTTTAAATAAATCTGTTACAAAGGTGTATCGGTTAACTGATCAACATAAAAAAATCTTGCTGCCGCATCCATCTTGTTAGAAACCATTTCAGAATCAATGTTTTGCGTCAGCTTGCCGCATTTAAGTTGATGGAAAGCCATAAGCTTATATCTGATGTTGGACTATTATTTCTTATGTCTTGTGGCTAGATGCTATAAAAATTGCCATAATATTCTTGGGTTTCCGCAATGCTAAGCAATGTCTTCTCATCTGCGCTCCAATGGTCTCGGCTGAATTGATTTTAATTTGACTCAATTGTCTTAGACAGCTCGCTTGTAATTGATGGAAATTAAGACAATACAATTCTTCTTGTTTATATTTTGTATATATTTCGATTAAATGTTTTTGCTGTCAGAAATATGCGTTCTTATATAAATATATACGAGTACATACACATTTTTGTATTAGATGCTATACTAAGTTGACAGAAATAATGACTTCTTTTAAAAAAGACACCCTTATTAGTTCCATATAGTTTGTTTTATTTTTTTCTCATTTTTGGATGTTGTTTGGAAATAATTTTGCTTCTCCATTAATTGTTGGATTCCTTCTAACATATGTTCATCACAACATAATATCGAGTTTTGTAGAAATGAAACCTCAATATATCAAAGTCAAATTGTAAAAATGTAAATTTATGTAACCCAGTTCATTATTATGCACACTGACTCTACTATCTATCCAGAAATAAATTTGTTATATATTTGGAATTCAATAGACCATATTATGGATGTTGAGCATAAACATTAATGTATTCTATGTTTCGTCTTCCTGATTTCTGACTTCATTTGCCAACATAAAATTCAATTTCCACTTTCCATTTTTAGTTTCCGGCATGTGCTATGTAATTAAACTATCAATTATATCCTTTAATTACTAAATCTAAATTTGGACATCTCTTTATAGTAGAACGCCGTGAAATAATTACTTTCTACTGCGGGGGCTTCCCATATAGGCGTGTTTGTAAACTTGCATTATACTATATAATATTACCGAAGTCTGCAATTTATAGATTTATAATCCCACACGTTATAGTATTTCCTGCTATAAATTTATTACGATAATGTTCATACTTATTCTCAGTAATTGCATGTATAATTTTAGACGAATGGTCAACTATATGTACTGTCGACATGGATTTTGTTAATATTATTTTCTAAGCGTTAAGAAGAAAAGTACATGTTCATAAATATTTTATGTTTATTTACAATTCCAGTATTTTTTGGAATATTGGATATATTCACTGAAAAATCATCTAAAAAATTTAATCATAAGGTTTTACTAAAATTGTGCGTTGGTACTATTAGTTATACACTATCATCATTACATTATATACCATAAGCGTTTTGATGTTACAGCTGGTATTGTATCGACAAAGAATATCTAACAATTTTTCAAACTTTTTGGGGAATGCAAAGAAACTGTTATTGAAATTGTGGTATAGTTTTACAAAGTATAGCATTTAAAAACTAAGATGAATAGAAATGTAGCAATATATTACACGCAATTTCAATATAATGTCCAGTAATGAAAAACTGTTAACATATTAGCACTATGTGATGTAGTTTTTATCGAGCAGTATGCGTGCTGGAACATACTTAAAATGTTTTATTACTGGAAACATTTTATGGTGGCAGCGAAAGAAAGATAAAAATGGCAAACAACGTATAATATGTTAGCACAAGTAATTAATTTTCAATTCATTCTGAGGTGTATATTATTCCTTAGACAGGATAGAAATCAGCAAATATTTTATCACGCCAAGTACATGTATTAATTATAAAAAGTATCAGATACTACTTGATTCATACGTCGTTATTCACAATTAAAACTGTTGTATAAAATGAGTTATCCTGAACGCCTAAGCTTTTGCGAGAAAATTAAGTTCTTATTTATTGGCACTATTTACTCTATCGATAACACTGTAAAGAAAGTATAGTATGTACGAGCTGTATGAACGATAAATAATATTTGATGGAAGTAATTCGGTAATAAATATGTAAGTAAACTGTGAAAGTAATATTTGCACAAAGTAGTAAATCATATGTATAAACATAGAACATGCTATTATGGTTAAATAAGCTTTAAAGCATTACAAAGCTATAGAAACGCTGACAGCCAAGAATTATAAATCACTCGAAACATTCATTAGTCACAGTTTAAACGTATGTCAAATTCAGTATGAGTTGGGTTCAAAATAGTTTAGGTTCAATATATTGATAATTTGGTATTTTTAATTTGTAAATTATATCACTTAGGCAGTTTAAGCCTATTGATTAAAATTAATAATAATATATATTTTGTAAAGAAAGAAAAGAAAAAGAAAAACAATAGAAATCAATATAATCAGAAGCTTTGACTTTTTAGTTCTATTTTGTTTTTGATTGCGTTATGCAGCACTTTTACATTCGATTCAGGTTTTTTATTTTTTCCATAATAATAATACACTATGTTAATTATAAATGATGTGCTAAAATATTCCAAGTTTCTGAAATGTTACATCTATTTTCTTATACGTATTTTGTAAATATTTATTTGTGTAAATGTAATGCCAAAACAATAATGCTTGCTGTATTCTAAATTAATATCAATTTGTCTTTAACATAGAAATCATACATTATAAGTTTATGTTTATTTATTTATGTAAATTGCTTGAAATTATTTACTTTTTTGAATTTGGAGTAAACATATTTATGCTACAGCCTATAGAAGTATGCTACATTACGCATTATTAAAATATCGTAAACAGACTTTCATTAACATGTTGTTCCTATATTGACATTTAACAATGCCAAATCTTATTGCTTACTAATTATCAATTAGTAAATTTAAGTGCAAAAAGTTATAGTATTCGCATCCAATACTCTTTTACTTATATGTTTATTATTTGAGAAATATTTAATAAAGTTGATTTTCACAATACAGCTTGAATATAAAAAAACGCTAAGTGAATGATTTATCATAAATACGTAAGATTGCAAGCAAGCAAACGCAAAGGAATATAAAATTTCCGTATATGTGACTCCGAAAGTATATCTTTTTCAATATAAAAACAATATCAAACGATTCGAATCAAACGACTCGAGAACAAACGATATAAAATATAATGTGCTTGGAAACTTTGTCGTTTCCATATATAACAAGTTTCCCCATATACATTTAAAGCAACTTTAGTGTTTTGAACTATTTTAAATATATCCAAGCGTGTAGCATACCAGTTACTTCTGCAACAATAAGATTTATTTCTTGAGGATGTAGAAAAATAAACACACCTTAAGTAGATCAGAAAATAAATATACATGACGTCGGATCGAAGCTGATTCTTAGAAGTCGTGTTAGGAGCGTGATATCGTGTTAAAATGATAGCCAGCGCTTGCTTCGGACCGCCGCCTTTGCCTCCCAACAAACGGGCGATCATGCCTCATTCGGCGCCGAAACTCTCGTCGACGTACATGAGCTTTCGGGACCCAGCGGACGAGCTTTCGAAGCCTGAAGTCCTCCAAACTTTTCAATCAATTCCAACAACTGCCGATCAATCTTGCTGTCACAGAAGAGGAGATGTGAAATCTGCGAGTTTTCGCGCAAGGAGAACGCAAAATACGGAGTTGGTTCCTATAAGAACGGCAGGCGAGGTTTGCTGTAAGCATAGTGCACGTGTGAGGCGTCAAAATGTTGTAGAAACGGATGTGAGTACGCATTTTTCGCCGCAAGTGAATCATTCTAATGTCGGTTTTGCTGTATTGAGAGATCCACAGACAAAACAGTATAACGCAAGAACTAATTCTTTACGAAGGAGTTTAAGACAAGAACCGCCTAAATTATCGTTCATTTCGCGGTGGAGATCGGAAGGAAATTTGGCGCAATTGGATGACAGTGTGGATAGTAACTCTAGTCTGCCGGTTGGGGGAAGACTTGAAAAATGCATGAAGGCACTAAGTGGTAGCTTGAAAAATCTTCTCCAGTGTGAGTATAATAATATTAAACTAACGAAAATAGTTCATTTGTCTAATATATCTATGTTACTGAAATCTATTTAACCCGTTCACTGGAAAATTCACTTATTTACATACATACACTATTGTCTTTTGTAAAATCTATGAACATAAATGAATAGTCTAGTATTTGAGTAAAGTAAAAATATTTTTGAATATATTATTTATTTACTCGTTACTCTGTTGCAAAAAGTATCCACGTGGAAACATTATGTTTGAACAGAAAATAAGTGGTTATAAAATATAATGTTTCCAATGAAAAGCTTAATATTACGAAAGGTCAGAAATATTATACATTAAGTTATTTTCTTTTGTGGCGGTATAAAATGTTCCATTTTACGCAATAAAGTTAATGCCTCTAATGTCTGATTTTATCTCACAGATCTTTTCTTGTACAAGCGAATATTTTTACGGAGATTCTTAAAGCGTTCCGTATATATTTACTGCCTTTGTGGAGAAAATAAAAATGAAAAAGCTCAAAGAATATAAAATATGAAAATATTTTTAAAGTATGGTTATTCCGCGATAAAAATTGTACCTTGTTATGAGTAAATTTATAATAATATAATTTTAATTGCGAAGATTGTATAATTGAACTATCAAATGTAAAAGTGCTAATAAAATTAATTCGAATCTTCCTGTGCCCACTCACTTAAAGTGCTAAATTACATTTAATCAGTGCTTTAGCAGAAGTGTCTATTAGAATCTCGTGTTGACAGTAGGCGTTTTTATCAAGAGATTGTATCGGGTGAAAGTTTGTTCTCTTGGTAACAAAAGTAATATTATTTAACTGATTCAATACCTTTATTTCAATCATTTTATCCTAGTTTCTCTACCGTGAGTCATTTTCAAATAGAGTAATAAATTCACCTTGGTTCCGACTTGGTTATCTGAATAGCCGAGTTTATCGAGAGCACTTTGGCCAGGGTATAAAATTTTGAAGGAGTTGTTTTAATAGCAGAAAACTAAAGAAGTAATTTTTTTAATAAATTAAATATTGTAATTATTTTTAAATCATTAAGGTTTTAGGCATCCTTAACACTATTTGGGAATTTAGTAGATTGATTATGATATATTTTAGATCTATTTGTGGTAGGTACTGTCTTATTGCGGCATTGAATATTCCACTTCTGTTACCATATCAATTCTGGCCATCTTTTCCGGTGAGAAGTTGTGTCCATTGAGCACATTGGTTACTACAATTTCTATGATTTTTATTATGCATTAAACAAATAATATTGAATATATTTATATATGAAATAACATTTAAACTGTCTAATAAATCATTGCGGTTTTGATCAGCATTTGGTGCGTTAGATTTGGTATGACATGCTTAGACGCTACGTTTACTATCCGATAATTCTTTACTATTTTACATCTGATTCAACATATCAATTTCGGCTTTTTGATACTTGTTAGTTCGTTAAACATGTGTTATTTCTAAAAGGCGTAATAAATTCACCTGTGTTCCCGACGAGATTAAATATAAGAGCCATTTATCTGGAGCACTGCGCCCAGGTTATTTCTTTCGTATGTCGTTATAGTAGGTATAGGATTTTTCATATCAAAGTCTGGCGCCTGCAGTGGAACACGTTGACTTCGTATAGTGAAAGTGTATCATGCATTTTATATCTAAGAACAGATCTAAACTTAAGAGCTAAAACGTTTTAGATAGCTAGCTGATGTCTAAACTACCTCATTTAGAACAAAGATCGAGTAATAATAATAAGAGACGTGTATATTACTAAACTTTATGTTCCTGTACAAATACTCTAAGCTCATATTAAAAATATGGATATCACTTATCAAACAGTTTTCGGCTTGATAAAAATAAATGTAATATGTACTTGTAACTACTGGATGTATGTTTATATTATAATAATTAGTTTTAATTGTTATCTTAATTTGGTGTTTATTTTGGAGTAGCCTTTATTTTAAAGTATAGTAGTAAAATTAAAATCTTACAAATTGAAGTGCCTTTATCATTCATCCACTAGCTATATGTCTATTTCTCCTATCTAGACAAACGTGTGCATTTTGATGCGTTATTACACATTTTACATATATTTCAGAGTTAGTAGTACATGTTAACGAACTTATTCAATATATATACCCCCGGGTAAAAACGGTGCCGAAATCGGTTAGCATTAAAATTTATCTCATATTAATGATCCTAGACGGTTCTATGTGACACATAGATGAATTTATTAGAACGTACGAAGTCGACCGAAAAGGCTGAGGTGCTTTATTGCTAAGATATTATGACACATATCAACCATACACACATGTAGTATTTTAGCATCAAATCCTTTCATTCATTTAGATTTATTTCATTATGCTATTTTGCTTTATTTTGTAAAGGTATTTAAAATAATTCATCAAATATGAAACGATCTCACACTCCTTTTTTATATAAATGGGGAAACTATTATTAAACATATTATTTATTTTATACCACTTATTTTTTAAAAATTATTACATCTATTACTTTTTTTTGGTCTGACTGGTTAAGGCTTGAACTCTGTAAACTCGTTCCAGACAAGAATAAACCGTAAATGAAGTCTTTTGGGAAACTCAAGAGAAATATATGAATAGGAAGTAATGAACTTGTGACAACCAGTCGTAAAATAAACGTCTAAATAAACAAGATTTTGTTCATTCCAATCATATAACTTACATAGCAACAGTTATTTTTATTACCCGTGCATAATTTATACCTATTTTTTTTTGGCGTTTATAAACATCGTTTTTGTGTTAAATGATGTGTAATTTGCTTCGGCGTGCTTTTAATACATACCTCTTCGATTATGAAAATCTATCATTAGAAAATTATATTTATATATGCGATTTATCTGTAATTATTAGCTATTATAATCAACTAATTGTTGACTATTATGGAATAGATTGTAATCACTTCAGTTATCAATGCAGTAGCAAAAAAAAAAAATTGTCGTTCGACCGTCGTCGAATGAATGGTTTTAATGATCATTATGAGTTTTTTTTATATTGATTGTGAAGTTTAAATACTGCGATCATGACTTGTTTGAAGAATTTTTTATGATATTTACATCACATTAAGAGATTTGTTTCTCATCGATAATACTAATACTAAATACTAAAAAATACTTTATATTTTTTATTAAATGTTTTTAATATTTTTTTATTTTTACCACTTTTTTTTAAGCTGGAAGAAACGCATAAATAACTTAATGTTTGCAAATTGAAGAATGTAACTTAAAAGATCATTTAACTAGGAACTTTGAAGAATTTGTTTTCTCTATTTCATATAAATTCTAACATGTTGAATTAACGTATGCCTCGTTATATTTTGAAATAATGCTTGTCAGTTTACTTGACATAAAACAATTTCTAGTATTTATCATTTGGCAACTCCACCTTCGCGAATGTCAAAGTCTTAATTGAAGCCAATGATTTCTGTAGTGTGAGATTTAGTGTTTCTAACAGTATAATATACGTAGATACAAATATATATATATATATATATATATATATATATATAACGATGACAGTTTGTGTTAAATCGTAAATCTTATGAATTATTGACATCATTATATCGAACACGTACCTTGGGCTATTCTAAATTGAAATTATGGAGAAGACGAATGTGCATATTCATTCTTTGTTTTTGCTTCAATAGTTCAATAACGTTGTAATTTATATATATATATATATATATATATATATATATATATATATATATGAGTCTTATATGATTTCTATAATCAAATAATATATTTTATTCTTAAACAGTATAGGAATTCGAATCGATTTTTGTCGTTAAAGATGCATGCATACAAACCCTTTTTAAATTATAACTTCCATTTTGAATTATTTGAATGATTTTGATATGTTTAATTGTTTTGATATTCTACTTTTTTAAAATTGGTAATAAACATCATCAAAATATTTTGGCATTACTATAAATCAACTTGACGTTTATGATAACTGCTCATTTTTTATATTTAGTTAGTTACAAAGATGAAATGTGAAAATATTCATTCCATAATGTACGAAATAGCTTTGATTGATTATTTTCGTTTTTCAGAGTTATTCAGTTAATTCATAAACCATTAACGTGTTTCAACAAACTAACAAAATATAATAAGTCTAAATTTTACGACTTGTTTCTTATGAGCGACTATGGAATCTCTATAATTAGAGTAGCCTGAGCTGTAATTAGTCTCCAGTAAACCGAACCTTATGCGTTTATATTTATAATCCAGTCAGAATATGTTTACAATGTTAGATTTAATGTTTGAAGATATTCTATTCATATGTTTTCTGTTTGTAGGGACTCATAATAATAAATAAGATAACAAGAAAACATTTCCGTGAAATGCAAGGGTTTTGTTATCGCGTCTTGAAAGTTTGATAGTATCCTTTTCCGAAAATTTTTTAGAATGTGTCAACTAGGTACAGAAGGATACGACAATGATAGAATATATCGCTTTCACAAAAATATTACTGATGCCATGCGTTTTTAAATCATTGGTATAGATTACAAATGGCTTTATAATTATATCTACAATTCAAGATTTATTATTTCAGATATCTAAACCGCCTAGATTCAATCTGATTCTTGGTTGCAATTTAATTCTAATCAATCAAGCTTTTGCGCCGCAGCAGCATTTTACTTTAAGTTCAGTTCTGTATTTATCTTATTATGATAAACGCGATTATCTTAACGAAGTTTCGCAATAAATAGCTTAAATTGGTTTCACACAGTTTCTAATGGATTCGGAAAGTACCTGTTTAATTCTCACAAATCGTCAATAAATCAAATACCACCTCGCAGGAGAATTATTTTAGTCGCGTCAACCGTTTATGGTATTGGCGCCAATACCGCTTTCTGTTTACTTTTTTCTGTATTGCAACAAGTGTCAACAATTTCATAATGCCTACATAATATCAATACATATAATCGAATACAGATTTAATAATCTGTGGTTA